TTATTGACTATGCAAAGGCTCTCATCTGGGTGAGTCATAATAAATTGTGGATAATATTGCAAAGAATAAGCATTCCAGAACACTCGGTTGTGCTCATGTAGAACCTATACAGGACCTAAGTAGCAGTCATTCAAACCTGTTTTGAAAAGATTGATACCTTTGAATTCTGTTGGTGAAGAATGCTGAATATCATCCCATGTGCTGCCACAAGAACAAACAAATCTATCTTGAAGTAAGTGCATCTGGATCTTCCTTAGAAGCAAGGATGGTGGAACTTCATCTCATATACTTTGGACCTATTGTCAGCAGGTGTGGCACTGAAAGCTAAGAAGGAAGCCCCTGCCTCTCCCAAAACTGAAGCCAAAGCAAAGGCATTAAAGGCCAACAAGGCAGTCCTGAAAGGCATCCACAGCCAGAAAAAAAAGAAGATCTGCACATCACCCACCTTCCGGCGGCCTGACTCTGAGACTCTGAAGGCAGCCCAAATACCCCTAGAAGAGCGCCCCCAGGAGAAACAAGCTTGACCACTATGCCATCATCAAATTTCCCCTGACCACTGAGTCAGCCATGAAGAAGATAGAAGATAACAACACACTTGTGTCCATTGTGGATGTCAAGGCCAACAAGCACCAAATTAAACAAGCTGTAAAGAAGCTCTGTGACATTGATGTGGCTAAGGTCAACTCTTTGATTAGGCTTGATGGAGAGAAGAAGGCCTATGTTCGACTTGCTCCTGATTATGATGCTTTGGATGTTGCCAACAAAATTGGGATCATCTAAACTGAGTCCAGCGGGCTAATTCTAAATATAAATTTTTCTCACAAAAAAAAAAAAGAAGAGTGTGAAGCTGCACTGCCATCCCAGAGGTGCACGGTTCAAATCCACCAGATGCTCTACTGGAGAAGGAGGAACAATCTTCTCCTGTACCAGTCAGATCTGATTTGACGGTACACACACACACACACACACACACACACAACATAATAACATTTAAAAAATTTGTAAAAAAAAAAAAGAGTTTGAGGAAAAGAGAGAAGATCCTCAGTGAGTTAGTGTGATGCAGTGACTTTGGCAGTGGGTTTGAGCATTGAGGAGACTGTAAGGATGGCACAGGATAGGACAAAGTTTGGAATGTTTTTATAGGTGCCCTATGAGTCATGGTCAATTCCATAGAACCTAACAACAGCATTAATGGGATATGTAAGCTCACAGGTTTGATGCCTATAAGAGTACTATAGATTGCATAAGGTGAAGGTTTGCCTTTGTTCTCCATTTCCTATTTCCTCCTCACCCCTTTAAGTATATGTTTTTCTTTCATTTTGCTTTTTGTTTGCTTTATTATTAAATGGCTTTTCTCTTACTGATTTTGCTTTAAATATTTTTAAATGAATGGAAAATTTAGAAGGATCATATCTCCCCATTCACTTGACAACTAGCATGAGCCCATTTTTTTTTTTTTTTTTCAACCAAGCAATGATGAGGTAGACAGAGCACTGTCCAGGACAGACATGCTCTGCCAGTTGGGGATTCATATTTTGTAAACAGGGACAGACATGTTCATTCATCTGTAAAAAGTCAAATTAGCGAAAGTTATAAATTAGATGTGTTTACTGTAACAATTCAGCCTCGAAATAAGTAGTTGCTGAAAGTACTTGTGTGCAACCATAAACATCATGGGATTTATTTCCTTATTTGGGACATTCAGGGTCATGGCTTTGTGAGATATCCCAGTAAATTGACCTAATAAAGTTTTGAATGTTTCTATTCTCCTTCCTCATTCCTTGATTAATGTCTGAGGCCTGAAAACCTGCACGTGGTCAACCCCAGGACAATTGGTTTCTGTTTGCCTGGAGCAGCAGGTGGAAGCATTATGTCTGGTTTGTGTTTTTTCTTTTTCAAGGCCTGACAGTATGCAGAAAGTAGGAGAGGTGTTCACCATCATTCCCTCTAAGGAGTACCTTGGCTGCACTTCCTCCACACCAGGCTTCTTTTGCTCTTTTGGCAATCCACAGGATAATCAATACACTTCACAACACCACAGTTCAAAGGCATTGATTCTTTAATCTTTCTTATTCATTAGGACTTCTTTGTTCTTTGTACTTCACCTTCCCTAGGAAAAAATGTCTGCCTTGGACATGATACTCTTTTAAAAACTTTCTATATGAGAGCAAAATGACAGTAGCCATTTAGCAAATTGGATCAGAATTATAGGTGACAGTTGTCTGATTATGCCCCTTAAGATCATCTACAACTTGTCGCAACCCTGGGAACAGCAGGTGAAACTTGTCCCTGTCCTGCACCATCATCATGATCTTTGCCCATCATTGCAGTCACCGTGTCGGCCATCTCTTTGAGGGTCTTCCTCTCTTTCACTGATCCTTTACTTTTCCCAGCATCATTTCTTTTTCCAAGGACTGGCACCTCCTGACAACATGCCCAAAATACATGAGATGAAATTTCACCCTGCTTGCCTTTAAGGATTATCCTCATGGAACATCCTCCAAGACAGATTTGTTTGTTCTTGACATTCTGTGAGTTTTTTATACTCAATGCCGACACTACAATTCAAAGGCATCCATTCTAATTCAGTCTTATTCATAGTCCAGAATTCACATGAATATGAAGCACCTGAAAATACCATGGCTTAGATCTACCCCTGATTACTGTATGTGTTTTTATAGTTGCCGTTAATTCAGTTACAACTCCTAGCAACCCTATGAACAACAAACTTGACCCATACCCTATCCTGCACCATCCTCATCATCTCTGATACAGTCAAGCCCATCATTACAGTCACAGTGTCAAACCTTGTTGTTGAGAGTCTTCCTCTGTTCACTGACCCACCACCTTTCCAAGCATAATATCTTTTTCCAGGGACTAGCTCCTCCTAAATGACATGCCCAGAGTATGTGAGATTAAGTTTTACAATTCTTGCCTCTTAAGGAGCACCTTGATTGCACTTTTTCCAAGATATATTTGTTCTTTTGATAGTCCGTGGCATATTCAGTACTCTTTTTGAACACCACAACTCAAAAGTATCAATTCTTTTTTCTGTCATCCTTACTCTCTGTTCACCTTTCAAATGCTTAGCAAACAATTGAAAAGACCATGGGTTGAGTCAGGTGCACCTTAGTTTTTAAACTGACATCATTACTCATTAGCACTTTGACAGATTTTCCCAATGTAACATCTATTGGTTTCTTAACTGCTGGTACCAAGGATGTTGATTGTGGATCCAAGCAAGATGAAACCATTGACAAGGTCTGTTTTTTCTCCATCCATCTGTGAGTTTGTAGAAATCCTCAAATTCTTTATCTTTGGCCTTAGTGATTTGTGTATATATTTTAATAATACTAATTGTATTAACAGGTATTTTCTTGTATCTGTATGGTTAGTTTACTATCACCGCATAGTACTTGATAATAGATCTTGAATGTTCTTTTTGACAATGAACGTGGCACCATTCCTCTTCAATTTTCATTCTCAAAATGATATTAATAGTTCATCTTCTGGTACTACATCCAACAATGTTCTTCTGTTACTCACAGGATTTTCGACGGCTTATTATTTCAGAAGTGGATGGCCAGTCATATTTCTTAGTCTGCCTTAGTCTGGAAGTTACACTGAAATCTTTCCTCCATGGGTGACCTTACTAGCTTTTTAAATTCTGGAGACATAGTTTCCAGCATCACAGCAACACACAAGCCACCCCAGTCCAACCAGCTGCAGACAAGTCTTTGAGCTACATCCCAGGTGTATGCAGTTTTCTCTGAGCTTGTGACCTATAATGTCAGCAGTTTCCTGGTAAGCTAGCTTTCTCAAAAATAAAAATCCTCATTTGTAATGTTTGCCAGTTTCTGTGGGATCATTTCTCCCACTATTATTGATTTCACACTGTCATCATGATATAATTGAATGTCAAGTTAGGAAAAGATGTTTTTAATTTACTTTCATGAGCTGGTGCTTGCATATCACTGGATCTCTACAGCCAAATGCACAACCAAATGCTGCTACTTCATCATCCAGCTTTTCCTCCATCACACCCTCTTTTAGGATAACATCTTTGTATCATTGGGGTTCAGACGATGCTCTCATGGCATGGTCTATTCAGACTTGTGCTACTGACCCAAAGGTGGCACCTGTCTGGCAGTTTAGATCCACTAGCAGCTCTTGAGGGAGACAGCTAGGCAGTCTCCTCCCATGGATTTACAGCCTCTGGAAGCCCACTGAAGGGTGAGCTGTGAGTCAGTTCCAAGCTGCTGACAATGAATTGAGTTTATGTGATAAAAAAGGAGCCCTATTGGTCCATTAGGTAAAATGCTGGGCTCCTGAACAGAAGATTAGCAATTGAAATCCTCCCAGCCATCCATGGAAGAAAGATGTTATACTCTTCTTCCATTCAGATCTACATCTCTGGAAATGTTATGGAGTAGTTCTACTCTGTCCTACAGTGCGGTGCTGGTATTGTTTCAGAGGCTGTGGAAGTGGTTAGTTTTTAATATGTTAAAATTAACAGAAGAAGTCATTATAAGAGTTGTTGTGATGTGCTGTCAATTCCAGTCGCCCCTTAGGACAATAGAGCTGCCCCATAGGGTTCCTGAGATTGCTCCTGCAGAACCCTGGGTCTTCTGTCCTGCAGAGCCACTAGTGGATTTGAACCTCAGACCTTTCAATTAGTAGCCAAACACTTCACCTTTATGCTACCAGGGTTTCTTGTGAGAATTGGCAAGTCTCTAAATTTACTTTTCCACATTTTGAATGCTCAAGGATCTAAGTCCCAGGGGAACATAACCTCTGCTTCACAGGCTCTGTGACATATCTGGAAGCAGGAGTGGCATCTACTTCCTAAACAGTTGTAGAGGGGCTTCAGGCCTTTTGTTCATAGCGTTGCTATGTGTCCTGCTAGACTCAAAGGCAATCAACAACAGCAGCAACATGCAATAGAGAAAACTGCCCTGAGGGTAAATGATTGGGCAGCCAGACTTCCTGATTTTTGCCAGGTGGGGTGGAACTCCCAGCCAACTCGAGCTGTGATCTTTGAAGACTGTGCTGTCCCAGTGGCCAACAGAATTGGGACCGAGGGCCAGGGCTTCCTTATAGCCATGAAAGGACTGAACGGAGGGAGAATCAATGTTGGTGAGAACACATAGGGGTGGGCTGGAAGGTTATTGCCTGGGGCAACTGCAGTGTCTGTCCTGACTCCATTGAAATGTTGACACTTTTTCTTTCCAGCCTCCTGCTCTCTGGGGGCTGCTCATGCTTCAGTTATCCTTGCCCTAAACCACCTTAATGTCCGCAAACAGTTTGGAGAACCTCTGGCCAGTAACCAGGTATTTCCCATGTGTCTGCATTTGCTTTTCACTCTTGGCGACTCAAGAGAATCCGTATGTGGCCCACATTCTCAGGGAGACTGAGAAGACTGAGACTATGGTGTTTCTAATGTGTAATGCCATACATCTGAGGCAGAACTTGTACTTCATTTCTATAAATGGTATAGTATAAGGAGAATAGCATTAGAAATTGCAAGGAAAGTAAAGTAGATGTAAAATGTTGGTAGTAACATTTATAGTAAGTTTTCTCTGTAGAGAGAGCAGGAAATTGAGGTATTGAGTCACTTAGGAAAGAGGTTTCATTTAAAAACTCAATCTTGAGGATCCCAGAGCAGTGGCATTCTGAGCCTCCTGATTCTCTTCTTCCGTGTTGCTACAGTACCTGCAGTTCAAACTGGCCGATATGGCAACAAGGCTGGTGGCTTCAAGACTCATGATCCGCAATGCGGCTGTGGCTCTGCAGGAGGAGCGGGAAGATGCTGTGGCTCTGTGCTCCATGGCCAAGCTCTTTGCCACCGATGAATGCTTTTTGGTAAGTGATAATGCCCTTACCTCTCCTGGGGCTGAGGAGTGAGCAGTTGGAGCAGCCCAAGGTCTAGGGATGTTGAGAGGCCTAAGTAAATCTTGGAACTCAGCAAATTAACCTATGAGAGACCTAATGGGAACTCTCAAAGCTGGCATTTTCGTGTGCTCCAAGCCATTATATATTTAATTATGCCATTGCTGTTTTCTTGTTTTCTAAATAACACACTGCCTTGAAGGTTCTAAGCAGTCCTGTTCATCTAGCTCCAGTTCAGCTCTGTGGCATGTTACAATATCAGGGCAAAGGCGTTCCCACACTAAGGCTGATTGCCACTAGATGGTACCTTAGCATCATGTACTCCCAGCCAGAGCAGTTGGGTGGCTCCTCCTCAGTAGACAGTCATCACAAAAGACAGGAGTCCAAGTTGTCTTTGTGGTGGGACAGGTTCAGGCAAAGAACTTCATTTACTGACTGAACATACAGACCATGCAGCCCCTCTCAGGACTTGGCTGTTTGTAAGTTGTTCTTCCTCTTGCCTGTTTACATCAGGTTGCTGGATGCAGGGTAAGGTGGGAGAGATGTCATGTCAACACTTTTGGGAGAGACAAAGATATCTAATCCTGTGTCCCTTCTAGATCTGCAATCAGTCTCTACAGATGCATGGAGGATATGGCTACCTCAAAGACTACGCTGTTCAGCAGTATGTGCGGGACTCCAGAGTCCACCAGATCTTAGAAGGTAAAGATCTTTAGTAGTCATCCTTGTCCTTTCAAAATGAGTACCTCCCCCAACTATCTATCCTTATGCTAATTAGTACTGATGGTTCCAGTAGGCCTTACCTGAACTGATTTTTTCTTCTTTCTCCTTTCCCTTCCCCTGCTTTGGAAGTAGCTTCTTGGTACAATAGAAAAACACCATTGGAAATAATCAGCCTGGATTGTAACCCTGGCTGTTCTCAGTCACAATGGATAAGTCATTTCATCACTCCAGTTCTTTCTGTCTTTTTATCTTTGAAAGTAAGGTCAAATGGAAATAATACATTGGAAGCCACTTTGAAAACGATAGCAGTGACTATTTTTCACTGTTGTAAGGTACCTGATTCTTAGTGCTCTTGAGCTGTGGACTAGTAATTTACAGGGCAAATGTGAACCACTGTGATTACCAGTACTTCTATAGATTTTCTGCCAAATGACCTGAAATACATCTATATCATCATTATCATGGGCTTTAAATATTTTTTAAAAATTATCAGTATATTATTTTGATACCAAGAGATACACTGCTGGAGTAGATGTTTCGTTAACTATGCAACAGCATTTGACTGTATGGATCACACAAATTGTGGCTAACTTTGAGAAGAATGGGAATCCCAGAACCTTGATTGTGTTGATGCAAATCCTGAACCTGAACCAGAAAGCAGTCATCCAAACAAACCAAGGAAGCACTGCATGATTCAAAATCAGCAAAGGAGTATGTCAGATGTGTGCTGTCTATAAGCAGAACAGATCATTCAGGAGGCTGGACTTCATGAGGAGGAATGTGGTATCAGGATTGAAGGAAGATTCATTAGCAATCTTCATTATGCAGATGATAGAACCTTGCAGAAACTGAGGCGGGGGCTGAAGTGTTTGCTACAGAAGGTCCACCAGTGGCTCTGTAGGAGAAAAATGGGCAGTTTTCTTCTTTGGAATGGATTTACAGCCTCTGAAAACTTTTGTGGAAGGTCAGTTATGAGGGTTTTGTTTTTTTGTTGTTTTTTTTTTAACTTTTACAGCATCGAAACATATTCACTGCAGGGCACATCCCTGAGGAGGCATCCCCTTTATCACATAAGACAGATTGTGTCTTTATAGAACTGCTATTAACTGTGCCTCATTAACATATCAAACTCTTAAGTTATTGGCATGGAGTCTTTTCTGATGCACAGCTTACCCTTCCATGAATTTTCATATGGGAGGAAACTGCTCATCTTTCTCCCATGGAGCCACCAGTGGATTTAAACAACCAGAGATGTACCATCTCTGAATTAGTAGTGCAATTCCCTACAAACTAGGCCACCAGAGTTCCCCCTGCCAAAGCTAGAGAGTTTTTAATTAGACCATATGTCTGACTATCCGGCTTGTGATCTTCAGGCTTGATCTGGTGGCCTTCCATACTTGTTGGAGCTTCATCACCTCCAAAGACTTTGTCTTTGATGCTGCTCCCCTACCTTTGGACTTGTCAGCTTGTGGTCTCTAAAACCAGCAATCTGAGACCCTGCCTGCCTGTCAATGACTTAGACTCATTAGCCTCCCCAGATGCCTCCCTCCTGAGGTCTAACCCACAGGCCAGCCTCTGCAAGTACATGATCCATTTCACATACATGAATAAATTTCTCTTTCCCTTCCTCTCTTTGTCCTCCTCCATCCCCCTCTCCATTTATCTTTCTGTCTCTTTCATGTGTGTGTGTATAAAAGTCTCATTGGATTTGCTTCTTCGGAGAACCCAGCCTAAGAAAACCTACTGGTTTATAATGGTGAAAAATCTGTTTATGACTTGTTATTTCAACTGATCATTTCAGTTTGATAGTAAAAGACTGGTTAGTGAAAACCGTGAATTATAAAACCTTTAGAAGGGAAGAAATGATTTGTGAATTTTGTTTCTTTTTTTGTGTGGCAATTTTTCATTTTTAAAATCAGTACTTTTTAAATGGCAGTAACTTGACCAAATGTCACATAATTTTGAGACATTTAATGAATCCACAGTTTGATGACAAACTTGTGTACTTATGTCTTATTTTGATCAACACTAAAACTTTCTAATTCTGGTGTTTGCTGAAATATTTAAATAATTTCAAGGTTAGGTTAAATATCTCTGCAGCAAGTAAGGTTTTTTGGTGTTTTTTTTTTCACGATGCTATCTTTAAGAACTTTGTGAAAAGCTATTGCAATGGTCAGTTTCAATACTTAAGATTTGTTGGGACAGAAAAGCAGACAGTAACTGAAAAGACTTAAAATATAAGTTTCCAGATTATGTAATAATAACCATGTTGCATATGTAATTTAGTTTTTGTAGTAATACCAAATGAATTTTAATTTCATTAAAAAACCCCACAAAGTATTCCAGTTGGCAGGGGAGGGAAAATGAAAACATACGGAGCATACATAAGAAGGAGAGACTTATTAGCATGTTGTCCTCCCCTGTCTCACAAAGCAATCATTGTCAAATTTAAATTTGCATCAGAATCATCTGGTTCAAACACAAGATGCTGGGACCAATCTGCAGTGTTTATGATTCTGAAAGTCATTTTTTAAATGTCTAGGCACTGATAAAATTTTGTACATTCAGTGATTTACTCATAGCACATACCTTTTTAAGAAACACATGGACCTTATCTGATGATCAGCACAGGATTCAGACTGACTACATCTGTGGACAGAATCACTGAAGACGTTCCTTATTAGAATTAAAAACCAGACTAGATGCTGACTGTAGAACAAATCGTCAGTTACTCATATAAAAGTTCAAATTGAAGCCAAAAAAAGGTTCAAACAGAAACCAAAATATGATTTTGAGTCTGTCCCACCTGAATTTAAAAATCATCTTAAGTTTGAGGGATTGATCACCAGTGATCAAAACCAGAGGAGCTGTGGAATGAAATCAAGGATATCTATAAAGAGAGCAAAAAGTCATTACAAAGACAAAGGAGAAAGAAAAATACAAAATTAATTGTGGTCATAAGAAATCGATAGCTGGACCAAGAAGCTTTTGTTAGAAGAAACTATTAAAATTCAATTAGAGCATTGAGAAGTGAAATTAAAGGAAAGAGATGCCGAAGTAAAAGAGCTGAACAGAAGATTTCAAAGGGCAGCTTGAGAAGACAAAGCAAAGTATTACAACAAAATAGCAAAGAGCTGAAGTAAGAGAATAAAAAGGAAAGAACTCACTCAGCATTTCACAAGTTGAAAGAACTGTAGAACAGATTCAAGCCTTGAGATGCAATAGACAAAATTTTGAATGATCCAGGAAGCATTAAAAAGAGATGGAAGGAATGCCTGTACCAGAAATAATTTGTCAACATGGAAAAATTTCAGCAAGTACTTTATGAACAGAAGCTGATGATAGCAAAGGAAGAAGATCAAGTTGTGTTGAAGATACTGGCAAAAAATAAGGCCTCAGGAATAGAAAATACACCAATTGACATATTGCAGCTTAACAGATGCAATCATGAACTTGCTCACCAGTCTGTACCAGGAAATTTGGAGGACAGTTGCCTGGCCAAGTGACTCGGAGAGATCCATATTTGTTCCCATTCCCAAGAAAAGTGATCCAACAGAATGTGAAGGTTATCTAATATTATTATTATTATTATCATCCCGTGCAAGCAAAATATTGCTGAAGGCCATCCAGAAATGGCTAGACCAGTACATTGACAGGGAACTCCCAGAAGTTTAAGGTGGGTATAGAAGAGGCTGTGGCATCAAGAGTATAATTGTTAATGTCTAGCTGAAAGTAGGGAATACAAGAGGCATGTTTATCTGTGTTTTATTGACTATGCAGTTAGACTGTGTGAGTCACAATAAACTTCAATGACTAACATTGAGAAGAATGGGAATCCCAGAACACTTAATTGTAGTCATACAAAATCTATACTTAAACCAAGAAGCTGGGAGCTCTGGTGGCCTAGTGGCAAGAAGCTGCACTGCAATCCCAGAGGAACACGGTTCAAATCCACCAGATGCTCTGCCAGAGAAGGAGGCGCAATATCCTCCTGTACCAGTCAGATCTAATTTGACGGTACACGCACACAAAGTAATAAAAAATTAAAAAAAAATTTAAAAAAAAAACAAAAACCAAGAAGCTGTTATCTGACAGAACAAGCGAACACTGCATGATTTAAGATCAGAAAGAATGTCTTTTCTACATATCTATTCAACCTGTGTACTGAGCAATTAATTTGTTAAGCTGAACTCTGAAGAAAAATAGGATATCAGGACTTGCTGTATGTAGAAGACAACGTTGCTTGCTCAGAGTAAGGAGAACTTGAAACCCTTGCAGCAAAAGGTTAAGTATGGAATGCAGTCGTCAATATGGATTATACCTCAACATCAGGAAAACAGTTACTTATCACTAGGCCATTAGACAATACCATGATAGATGGAGAAAAGATTGAAACTGTCAATGATTTCCTCTTAATTGGATCCAGTCAACACCTTTGGAACCAGCATTCCACGCAACAAGAGACATATATTGCTTTGGGAAAGTCTGCTGTCAGGGACTTGTCCATACAGAAGAGCATTGCTATCAGTTTGAAGACTAAAGTGCCCCTGATTCACACCATGGGCTTTTCAATTACTTGATATGCATTTGAGAACTGAACAGTGAGTAAGGATGATAGGAAAAGAGTTGATGACTTTGAGTTGTATTGTTCGAGAAGAGTACTGAATATCCCATGTACAGCTAGAAGAACAAACAGAAATGTCTTGGAAAAAATATAGCCAGTGTGCTCCTTGGAGGCAAGGATGCCAAGCTTTGTCTCTCATACTTCGGAAATGTTGCTAAGAGATGATATTCTGCGAAAAAGAGGAATACCACCAACAGAATGGATTGACACAGTGACTGCAGCAGTTGGCTGAAGTATAAGGATCCAGTGGAACAACATCAAGAGGAATAACATAATTGGAATTTTAAAATAGGAAGAGACCAAATAAAAGACAGAGAAAATTATTAGGGATTTACTTGAAGAGAATTTAACAAAT